TTAATAATCCCTATAATGGGTCTATTGTACACATTATTCCTCTGTTCATCTATCTGGCCAAGCCTACGATAGGTATTACCTAGGTTATCTCCTATATTTCTCTCTTATTAGTTTCTCTTTTGCTACTCTTTCTTTTCTCTGCTCTTGAAACTTCTCATATCTTATCCTTATCTTCTATTATCTATAAATCAGTTCAGCATACCTCTTTTAATCAGATTTTTTATTTCATTCATCAAATTTATGTAATCTTAAGTATTATGGCCATGATCCCTATGGAATGCACATCTTTTGGTTGAATCTCTTATGTTATTCTGCCTCATTAATCTAGGCCATATGAGTGCAAGGTCCTTTTCAGTTTGCATAAGAATCTTTTTTTAAAAGGTATTTAGTGTAGTATTGCCATTATATCTTTTGCTTGTCCTTCTCGCCTTTGGGTATCCATTAGTGAATTTTTTCTCTCTTTAAGGATTATCATTTTCTTTACCTCTTTTTTAACCAAGGTGAAAAGATGTCTTTCTTTCACCTTGACTACTTTTCATTGTAACTTCAACAATAATGTATTTCTTGGCTATCAAAAGTATGTTGGCTAAAGTTTTAGAGGTTTTAAAGAAAGAATTAGTTTCAAGTGGTATTTTATCATGTAGCCCACTTGTTAGGGTAGCCATAACTGCATTTTGCTCTAAATCTTTTACTTGAAGAGTTTCAAAGTTAAAACATGTGACATACTCATTTAAAGATTCATTGCATCCTTAGTAAATGAACATCAGACTCAAGATAGTCTTTTTTGTTCATTAGCTCCTAATGAAATAGGTAAAAAAAAAAAATGATCGAACTATTTAAATGTTGAAATTGATGTAAGCTCCAAACTGGTGTGTCATGATTGAGTTACCCTTTTGAAGGTTGTGACAACACTTTTGCATATCAAAGGCTCATTGACTCTTTCTATCAACATGTTAGTTCTGTATAGTTAAAGACGATCAAAAGGATTAGTAGTATTACCATAAATCTTAAAAGTGGGCATCTTGAATCCTTTTAATCAAAAGAAGATGTTTATAAAAGCTTGAGCTTGTTATCAAATGTGTAAGTTCTGTTCTTAAGCTTTTTTTCAATTGCCTCCATCCAAGCTTCTACGTCCTTATTTGATTATAATTTCAAACTCGTCATCAAAGGTTTTTTTACATATCAAGGGCTCATTGACTCTCTCTATCAACATTTTACTTCTATATAGTTAAAGATCAAAGAAATCAATGGTACTACTATAAGTCTCAAGAATGGGCATTTTGAATCTTTCTAATAAAAAAAACGATGTTTCTAAAAACTTAAGCTCATCATTAAAGGTGGAAGCTTTGTTTTTGAACTTTTTTTCTATTGCCTCTATCTGAGCTTTTAAGTGCCTATTGGGTTGTAGTTCTGAGGTAGCATGTTTGGATTTTTTGTGGTTTATATTTAGGTATTTGTGGGGTAATAACTTTTGGGGGTTTTGTCTTTTTCATAGACCAAAAAGGTAGCATTGTCATCATAGGTTGGCAACTTTGGTGTTTATGGGTTTCTCGGGACTGTAGGAACTAGTTCTTTTCTTGAGGAGTTAAGTTTTGGATTAGTTCTTTAAGTAACTATAATTATTGGGTAAGGGCTTTGAACTGTTCATGGTTGGGGTTGTTTATATAGGTCGATCTCAATTTGGTTGGCTAAGCTGGGTGTCGATTCAAGCTATAACAACATTATATCTTTCTTCTACAACTTTATTCCTAGGAAACATGATTAACTAGGCTAGGTGGACAGAGGCCCTTTACTTGGCATGTCAAAATGTTTATGCCAAGCTATCTTAACAAAGCTAAAAACTTGTAATCATAAGGTTGAAAGTTGGTTAGAAGCAAAGGCCAAAGATTTCTTTGACATTTATGTTTCGATGTTCAAGTCAGAACTCAAAAAGAGAAAGAATGAGAAAAATCTTAAAACGGGAGAAGAAAATTGAATGTCCATACTTAATATGAGGGGTTATTTATACTTGTCATAACGTGTATAATCCTAGAACTAAATCATTAGACACAAAATATGGAGTCGTCATCAATTTTTTATCTAAGTGTGATTAGTCATCAAAGTGAATCTATAAAAAAGTTGTTTTAAGCTTAACTAAAGATCCCTAAAAAGAATAGGTTATAATTTTTTAAATAAAACTATGTTCAAGAATTTGATTATATGTAGAAAAAGTTATAGCACACTTATAACGTCTACAAATTAATACCAATTAATCTTAAATTATTTTTAGCATTAATTAATAAGGTTTTAATTTATTCTTATTATTTATTATTCATTATTTTTTTAATTTTAATATTTTAATATTGGATATATTTTTAGATTTTCTTTAACATTTTGGTCGATTCTCTAAAAATGTTTTTGACTTCAAGAATATTCAAGAAACACATTTATTTCCTTGAAGAAACTCCATCATTGGATTTATTAAGTATTTTATGAAACTAAATTGATTTAAATATATAATAATTTAAATATACAAAATCAAATACAAAATCAAATTTATAAAAGACAATAATCAAATAAAAATTTAATGTAAAACTTAATACATATAATAATATAAGGAAATTAAATCATTATAAGTTATTCTCAACTTTAATTTTTTTCAGATTAAAAATAAATTAAAATTCTTATATTGAAATAAATTTTTAAATCCTTCAACGTCTTGATCGAATTTAAAAAATATTATCTCTCCAAAAAAATTTTAAAAAATATTACATACCAATAATTTCCTTTGAATTTTATCGTTGATTGAATTTTATTTATTTTAAAAATACATTATGAAATTCTTTTACGATTTTTCCTTACCAAATCAAACTTTCTTTTATCTTTTTTCAATAATTAAAACCATATACTAAAATAAAATATACATAAAATAATAAACTAAAAAAAAATGATTGGAATAAAAATTAAAAAAAAAAACTGGTGCCAAATCAATCCACGGGTGGTTACTGCTTGGGTCAAAATTCAACAAAATCGGGGCTTACGAGGTGGATTTGTTGTGCTTGAAACGAACACCCATAACCTTAACCTTGTTTCTCTACTATAACCTTATTTTTTGTCCTATTGTCTTATTCTTTAAGTCTGCTAGTATCCTTTCTTTCTCCTTTATAGCTTTTTCGAACAACAGCCACTAGCCTTACCTAGAATCAAACGAAGTGCCACGCTTCTTCCACTGTGTGCGGCTAAAATATACCCAAAAAAATCTGCTAATCCACATTTCAAATCCAGATCCAAACAACAACCACCCAACGCCAAAATTATACTTAAAAAAATGGCTAATCCCAAAAACTCTTCAGTGCCCCCTTCTTCACGAATTTTTTCTTTCTGATCTTTTTTTGCCTTTTTCTTATTGTTTCTAATTTTTTTTCTTCCTTCTAAGTAATCCTCATCAGTTGCAATGGGGTTTTTTTTTTATGACTTTAATCGAAGAAAATTTTTTTATTTCAATCTCCTAATCAAAATTAAATTTGAATTTTTAATCTAAATTCTTTTCAAACTTTCTTTCTAAATACAACTTTTTTTCAATTAAAAGATTTCTTTTTTTTTTTCCTAATTAACAAAAAGCAATTCAAAAAATAAAATAAATAAAATAAATAATCTAACTTAAAAAATATCCAATTTTAAATCACAAAATTAACCTTAAATTAAATATGATGTCTACAATCAAATTTTGATGGTCAAGTCTAATGCTAATAATGTTGACCTAACTTAACTTGATATTAAGGAGTGAGAAATTAACATTCGTGTCTTCAAATAAAAAATTAAATTAGTTAAGCTGACGTGGACTTCAAAATTTTAAGTTGATTTACCACATTAACTCGGATCATAATAATAAAATTGCCCTTACTTTGTCAATGAGTCGCCTTATGATAAAAAACCCATTCTACCCTTATAAAATGTCCCTAACACTCATTTTGAAAACAAATTTTGTATCCAATAATGGCAAAATTTAATTTTAAGGCACAATATAATGACAAATTTCATCTTAGTCCCTAAATTTTGTAATTATATTTTACATTTAGTAAACAAATAATTTGGTTAATTATTTCAACTTCATCCCTAAATTTTGTAATATGTGAAGCAGTGGAAGAGAACAAGTAAATAAAGACGATAATTTCAAAAAAAAAAAAAAAGCAAATAAAGACGGTTGTCGGTCAAAACTTGAATTTGACCCTTTTATTATATAATATCTATGTTATATGATATTATAACATTATGTTAAATATGAGTTGTTATGTTATTTTTTGTTAAAATATCAATCAACTATTAAATTTTTTTGATAATAAAGAATAAAATATATAATTATATTAATTAATTATAATGTAAATATTAAAGAATGGAAATTCGAAAATTAACATACGTTTACTTATCATTAAAAAAATCAAGAACTAATTTCATCTTTTATATTATAAAAAAAATCAAGAATTAATTTCATCTTTTACTTTATATTTTTATTTTATTAGTAAACTCTGAGAGATTTAATTAATTATATTAACTAAAATGTATAAAAAAAAACTAAAACTTATTTTTGTAAAATCTCAAAAAATTATAATTATTATTATTTAATTAAGAAAAATATGATTTTTTTTTTTTGGATTGAAATTTGCCAATTTATCAAGAAATTAATCCACCTCATCATGTCATAATATCATCACCAAAATTCCATATCATCCAATTGAACCCTAAAATTTTAATAATGACGTCAATTAATCTTTGAATGTACCATTCATAATGCAAAGATTAAATTCCATTAAAATAAAAATAAAGTGACTAAAATCGCCAAATTGAAATAGCAAACGGACCAAATTTAAACTGGGAACAAGCTAGTAGGCCAATACCCATTTAGCTTGTCTTTATTTCTAGTTATAAAGTTCAAACCCCTGTCAGTTTGCATGGCATGATGGAGCTTGACAATATCATCCCACCATAAGATCAAGCAGCAAGAGGAATAAGCAATAGCTCAATTATAGTCAAACCCGAGGCCTAGCCTAATTGGTTCATAAATCGCCCTTAAGAGATGACATCCAACATGTTTGGTATGTTTGGGATTGAATGCCAGCGTGCACTCCTTTGTAAGAAACAACTTAAGAATCAGAAGAGAAAGACGAAAATGAGGACAACAGGTGCTTTCCCTCTGAAACAAATAATGGACAGCACAAATTTTCTCCTAACAAACCAAGTACTTCTTTTCAACTTGATATAGCCATAGTATCACTAAGTTCCTGGCCCTTGGTTTCATATGGGAAGAGTTGAATACAAACTACTGAAACAACTATAGCAATCAAAAAGAGGACAACGGCTTCTGTTTGATGGCACTCAGTAACCAATCCCACCGCGACAAGAGGACATACCATGCCACCGATTCTTCCCATACCACTCGCGAGTCCAACACCTGTTGCCCGCACAGGGGTTGGATATATCTAGAGAAAAGGAAATTTCTTAGATTGGAAACAACTTATTACCTAGAACCGCATACAAAGATCAACAAGGAACAATTATGCCAAAGCTTATGTGCCCAAATCTGATAAACTCCACTACAATGAAAAATATCCAAATAGTCTGAAAGGCAATTGGCTGGTTGATTCCAAGAAAATAGCAAGTAGACAATCAATAAGAAACCAACATCATGATATCAGTTTGGAGAACTCAAATGCAGATTTCTTAGGGCAAAAATATCAGTTCATTAAAAATTTTGTTCCAAAGATATAAAGCAAAGAAGAGAACATTTCAACAACAACAACAACAACCTCTTTTTGTTGTGGCATTAACAGTTCCGGACGTTTTAATTGTAGAAAAAGAAATAATTAACAGAGATATGGAGTAAGCAAAACAGATTAAAAACTGCAGGAGAGGAGACCTTGTGATTTCTTTTCCCTTTTTTTATGTATTCTTTCACTTTCTTCTTCTAAGGAAAGTCTTCATAACCAATTCCATTAATAAATTTTAGTGAAACTCATTACCAAGAAAAAAAACAACCTCAGTGATGTGAAAAAGTAAGGATTGGCAATTATGGATTCCTGAAAGGACCCCAGGTAAAACCAGTCATTAAATAAATATTAAATGGGCTTACCTCAGGGGAATATATACTTGCAATATTAAAGGTTCCGATGGCACACATGCGAGCTCCAAATAATAAGCAAGTAGTTAAAACCGCAGGCTGATGAGTTAGCAGTGGAAGAAGGAGAATAAATGTCAAGACAAACATAAATGCCATAGACTGCTTGCGGCCTACCCTATCGACCAATATTGCTGACAAGAGAAGCCCAGGAAGCTCTGCAGCATAGGTCAAATTATAATTCAAAATAGAGTTGGTAGATGCCCCATTTTGTCCGGAGTCATGAAATTTTTTAACCCTGACATTCACATTAATGAATCGAAATCCAAATGTGAATTTTGGGGTTAAAAAATTTCATAAAACCTAGAACAATATAGGGTGTTTACAGAGGATAATGAAGTGGGAAGCGAGAATGAGACATAATACCTGCCAAACTAGTGATGAACACATCCACATAGACGGCAGAATCCTGGAAATTTCTATAGCTTGGAATAGTTGGGAAACACCCACTTTGTCCACTACTTAGCTTTGAGGTAAGTAATATGATACCATAATATGAAAACGAATTTCCAAAGAATAATACCCATAGTAGGAGCGTTGTTTGAATTAATTTTGGTGAGAAAAGCATAAAAAATGATGAGAAGCCTGATTCAGATGGCATGATATTTTTACTCAGTGAGGAGAGTAAGGGACCCCTATCCTCTGATAGAGCAGACGCTTTATCCTCGACACTTGATCTACCACAAGCTAGGATGCCAGGAGGAAGCTTTGTTTGGTTCACTGAAGCTATCTTATCCAGAATTTGAAGTGCATCACTTGTGCTACCTTTCATGCATAGATATCTTGGAGACTCAGGTACAACACCATACAAAAGAAGCAGAAGAAAAGATGGCACAGATGAAAATGCAAGTAGCCACCTCCATTTTAATCTGGGCATGACAATCTGCAATAAAAAGGACATGAAATCATCTTAAAACTCTGAAGTTAAAAATTGTGTGAATAATTCCTCTCATTGCATGAATATAAAATCAATATTTGTCAAGTTTCCAAGCTCCTTGAACAGCTAGCCAGCAATACTTCAGTTCATTATCCAAGAAATTTTCAATTCTCAGATAAGTGTCTATGTCGATAGAGCTGAGATATTATAATAGGGAATAACCTTTTAGCATGGACCTATTAACAAAGAGAATAAGCATTTCCAAATTAATCATAAGGATGGGCACCTATTACTCTCTGTTAAGAATTTAGTAGTTGTACCTTCACTTTTTCAATGCATACATGAAATACTATCTGTGAGAATAATTAACCGCCTTGGTCCACTTGCTTTGTCTTTTTCTCCAATCTCCAGAATACAGAGAGATGACAAGGTAAAGGTTGTAATCTTTGCCAAGACACAACCCTTCTAATGACAAAGCACCTATTCCATGATGGCAACAGATAATCCACTAATGAAGATCCGCTACACAGAGATGTCCCTGTGGCCTTGAACATCCTCTTTGTTGATTAAAAATGCTTCTAATAACTAAATCTCTATATTTTATCATTGAATGATAATGGCTAGATGACACATCCCACCCCACTTGCAACATGGTAGTTAGTAGTAAAATAGAAGCAAATTAAGAGAAACAGTATGCCACCATCATGGGTCAAAGAGAATAAAAGAGTTATGCATTGTTCTGCAACTTTTCTGGTTTGAAAAGGCAGGGCGTAACCAGACCTGGAATTAGGCTGAAAGGAAAGAAAAAAGGACCAGGAAAGTCCCCTGTGCGGACACTAAACACATTCAGAGATAAGAAGAAATATTTTCAAAAGAGATGCTATAAACATTTATCATCAAAACATGTTGAAGTGTAAATAATGATGGTGAATGTCTTTCACAAGATACATATCTCTTGACTGCCAAAACTGAAAACCTTAAAACCAGCCCTCAAGTCTCAACCCTTAAAAGATGTTATGAGATTGTCAGTATAAAATACAGAAGTGTAATAGCATAAAAAAGGCTTATTACAGGTTAACTTGAAAATCTGCGTGTAGAACATAATACAACTGCACATGGTCTTTGTGAACAACATACCACACAGATAGAAAAATTTCAAGTCCATATTAATCAAGAATAAACAGTTCTCCAAAGGCTAAGAGGGAATGATTATTTCTTTTTTCTTAGATTGTGGTCTTTGTGCTCACTGGTTTTCCAAATAAAAAGCAACCTTAAATAAATAAAGAAAGGTCAAAACCCACTCCAGTACTCCATATTTCAAAATCAATTAAAAATTATACAGAGTTAAGAGCAGAGAACACAATATTAACTGAAGCATTTATTGAAAGTAACTGCAATGAAGAAAATCTTAAGATGAATGATAAGACAAGCAACACTATTACAAAAAGTTCTGCAACAAGTGTCATGTGCAACATCCATCAACCACATTTGTACTCTTAAGAGTTCTGAGGAGTAAGTCTGGACAGGAGTCGAGAGATCCATTTACTCAGAATTTTACTGAATGACTAAGTCCATGGTTGAGTTGTCATAGGAACTCTCTAGATAATAGGATAGGAGTATAAATGATACATCTGTGCTAGCAAGTTATTCGAGCTCAGCTCAGACAAAACTTGAACTTGGCTCGGTCATTGTCAAGCCTAGAACGAGCACAAATAATCAAGCTTCAAGTTGAGTATAAGAATCAAGCTCATGTTTTACTTGGTAAACCAGCTTAATCGAGTGAGCTCGAATAGCTCAATTTTTATCTCGATTCGAATTCAAACTTGAAATTAAAACTCGATCTAGTTTGAGCCAAGTTTCAAACAGCAAATTTTGAATCGGGCTTGAGCTTTTCACTGTATTGGCTTGATTCGATCCAATTACACCCCTATGCTATGACCCCTTCAGGCACAAAAAAGTTCTCGCTTGAGTGAAGCAAGGGCTAATTTCTACAAAGGTCATTAATATAAACAAGACAAAGAAAATTATACTATTATGCCTAACAAGCTTAAGATATATGGATTTTTTAATAAATAGTAAAGCGTTTGCTTCACTGCATTGCCTAATATGTTCCAAAAATAAAGAATTTAGCATAATATAATCAAACAAAGTCCAACTTTCCTTCACTCCCATCTTCAACAAAGAGTTGTTCATCGACTAATTAATTTTTTCTGCTTGAAAACACAGTTGACATTGCCCTTTACTGGTTATTAGAAGAACGGGTGATAAAAGAAGTCAAAAACTAAAGAAATAAAAGGGATGCTTAAGTTAGGCTTGCCTTTCTTGCGCCAAGGCATGCACCTGATTAAAGGCACATTGCCTGTAGGGGCGCAAGGAGCTTTACTATACTCAGCTGTGCCTCAGTGCCTAGGTGCATGGCTGCAGAGCTTGAGAACTGCATGTAGAACATAATACAACTGCACATGGTCATTGTGAAAAACATACCACACAGATAGAAAAATTTCAAGTTTGTATTAATCAAGAATAAACAGTTCTCCAAAGCCTAAAAGGGAATGATGATTCCTTGTTTCCTAGTTTTTGGTATTTGTGCTTGCTGGTTTTCCAAATAAAAAGCAACCTTAAATAGATAAAGAAAGGTCAAAAACCTGCTCCAGTACTCCATATTTCAAAATCAATTAAAAATGATATAGAATTAAGAGAAGAGAACGCAATATTATCTGAAGCATTTATTGAAACTAACTGCAATGAAGAAAATCTTAAGATGGATGATAAGACAAGCAACACTGTTGCAAAAAAGTTCAGCAACAAGTGTCATGTGCAACATATCCATCAACCACATTTGTACTCTGAGTTCTGAGGAGTAAGTCTGGAGGGGAGTAGAGAGATCTATTGATACAGAATTTTTACTGAATAACAAAGTTCGGGCTGTGTTGTCATAGGAACTCTCTTGACAATAGGATAAGGGTGTAAATGATACAGCCATGCTCGTAAGTTACTCGGGCTCAGCTCAGACAAAACTTGAACTTGGCTCAGTCAGCTTGAGCACAAATAATCAAATTTGAAGTCAAGTATGGGAATTAAGCTCATTTTTTATTTGGTAAACTAGTCAAATCGAGATCAAGCTCAAATAGCTAGATTTTTATGTCAAGTGGAGTTTGAACTTGAAAAGTAAAACTTGAGCCAAGTTTTAAACAGCAAATTTCGAGTTGAGCTCAAGCTTTTCATTGTATTGGCTTAACGCGATTTGATTACATGCCTATGCTAGGACCCTTTCATCACCAAGGCACAAGGCACAAAAAAGTGCTCGCTTGAGTGAAGCAAGGGATAATTTCTACAAGGTCATTAACATACACAGGCCAAAGAAAATTATAGTATGCATTATACCTAATAAGCTTAAGATACATGGATTTTTTAATAAACAGTAAAGCTTTTGCTTCACTGCATTGCCTAATGTGTTCCAGAAATCAAGAATTTAGCATAATATCATCAAATAAAGTCCAACTTTCCTTCACTCCCATTTTCAACAAAGAGTTGTTCATCGACTATTTAATTTTTTCTACTTTTAAACTCAGTTGAAGTTGTCCTTTTCTGGTTATTAGAAGAACAGGTGATAAAAGAAGTCAAAAACTAAAGAAACAAAAGGGATACTTAAGTTAGGCTTGCTTTTTATGCACCTGATTAGAGGCTCATTGCCTGCAGGGGCGCAAGGAGCTTCACTAGACTCGGCCGTGCGTTAGTGCCTAGGAGCATGGCTGCAGAGCTTGAGAACACTGCTTCTTGGTGAAAAAAAAAAAACATCTAAGGCCTATATTTTCTTGTCCATGTGCTTGTACTTCTTTCGTTTTATAAATACACAAGATTGAAGCTCTAAGCCTCCATACTAAACAGATAAAATCAAAAGTACTCTCTAGCTTTAGGTGCAGTGAGAACAAGCAATGGTGAAGAGTACCCTTAAATTTTGTCATGACCAGAGGAGATAGAAAATAAAACATACCCATGCAAGTGAAGCCTCAAAAATTGATCCAAATGTCCAGAAAGTTGAAAAGATGATCATCCATGTGCCTCTATTGGAAGCTGGAACAAACTCTAGAAACCATGATAAGAATACAGATCCACCACCAAGGCCAAAACCAACAAAACCCCGAATAATAACAAGTGATAAATAATTTGGAGAGAATGTGCTCAATAATCCAGCTCCACTAGTTACCACAGTTATAGAAAGAAAACCCTTCCTGATAGGAACAAATTAAAATACAATTAAAGAAGATTGTGAAACAAATCAAAAGTTGAATAAGAATAGTTAAGATAGCATATTTTTCAATGCATAATTCCAAATGAAAAGCATTTATGATATGTATCAACACATAGATTAACACCCAACAAATGGATCAGCATTCAGTCATAGACATGCCATCAACCAGAAAGAAATAGAAAATAGAAATTAAAGGCATAATCGAACCCGAAGCTTAGCTCAGTTCATCATATAAGGCAACAGCAACCCCTGCCCCTATCCCAAGCAAGGGCCTCTTATGTACCAAATAAATAAATAAAGGGCATAATTGAGTATTTATGGTGTGTGATATGTGCAGCAGTAAGCATGAATAACGATGGAAAGAAAATGGAGCATGCCTCCTTCCATAGTTGTCTGACACAAGGCCCCATGAAGAGGCTCCCATGAGCATACCAGCAAACACAACAGTGGATAACAGGCTCTCTTGACCTGAGGAAAGTCCCCACTCTGACTTAACAGCTTCTCCTATAAAAGAAAGAATCATAACTTCCATTGCTTCTGCAAACCAACCGAGGCCAGCGTATGCAAGAACAAGGCCTTGGAATTTCCCAAACCCCACACTTTCAAGGGCCTTATCCAACGTGTAGAAACCAACATCTTCCTCATCCATCTAAGAAATTCGAGGAACACAAACAAGAAACAGCAGCAACAAATCAAAGTCAAAATCAAAGTCAGTTGTTTCCCAGTTCTGATATCTGAAAGACAACCTCAAAATCACATTAATTGTTCGCCGAGAAACGCATACATAGTGGTGGTCTTGTCTAAAGCAATATGCACCACATCTTTCTTCTATTGTAGTACATTTTGTTTTTTGCTTGATTTTTTAAAATAAGTTGGATTGGAGCAGGCAAGGTGTCCAAATCCTCTGCGTCATCAGCTCCCGTTGGTTAGAATAAAATCACAACATCAATTTCCATGGCCCCGCCGCGGCAATTGAAAGACGTTTGGCAATTGCTTATTCGCCTACGCTCTGCTAGCGTTTGTTTGAATGATTGTGGTGTCATCAAAACGTTTGCAATAGACGGATATAAATCCCTTATATTAAGGTTTTTTTTTTAATACTTAAAAAGTCCAAAAATTATTTCATTTGAAAAAAAAAGTTTTTGGAGCTTCAACTTGCGTCCAATTTTTTTCTTTTAGACTTGTTTTTTAATTATTTTTAAATAACATTACTTAATTATTTTTTTAAACTATTTTTTTATTTTTAAATTTTAAATATACAAATCCAGATTGAAAACCGAAAAGTTTTTAAAAATTTTTAAATTTTAAATCAATAAATTTTAAAAGTATTTGAGTTTATACATCGAAAACTTTTAAAATTTTTTATTTTAAATCCTTAAAATTAAAAAAAAATTCAAAAACTCACATGTTATAATCGGATAATCTTTTTATTAAAACTATAATTTTTATATATCAATTTATAAATAAATTTATAATTATTTAAAACAAAATGGTGTTTTTCTTTTTTGCAATATTATAAAATTTTTCAAAATATGAGATTTTTTTAACTGATTTTTTAAGTTTTGTTGAAATCCCAACAAATTAAATAAATATTTTTTATTAGATCAAGATGATATTTATTTAATGGGTTTTGTTGAAAACTTTAATGTAATTTTTTTTAAACTTAAGAAATATAAATATTTGATAAATTATAAAATTTATCATATATACATATTCAAAAAATTTTAAATAAAAATAAAAAATAAAATATTTTATTTAAAAATAATATAAAAATAAAAAAATACCTAAAACTTCATTTATTTCACAAAAAATGACGTTTGAAAAATAAACCCTAATCACACCAACATTCAATCAATGATCTACGGAACATTTTGACGAAAATTGGACTACTGTGTTTAGCAAGCAGACCTATAATACTTCCTGATAAGGGTGTCGTACTTGGCTTCTTGGTCAGGAGCCGCTCCACGTTGAAGCCCAAGGGGCCACGACCCCAAAAAATTTGAAAAAAATTGTTTACATGTATTTTTTAATAATTTTAAAATTTATTATAATAAATTAGTTAATCCCTCACATTTAAATTTATTTTATTTATAAATATAAATTATTTTTTATTGGATTAATGTTATGAGTAGTTTTTAAATTAAATAAAATATTTAATATAGTATTCAAAGTTTAAAAATTTATAATATAATATTTAAATTATAAATTTATTAATTAATTTAATATTCATTTTTAATGTTAATTAATTTCAAATGATGATATATAATAAATAAATAATTATTTATTTATTACATTAGTTAATAAAATCAAAATTCAAATATCATATTAAAAATTTTTTAAATTTAATCATTATATTAAATATTTTATTATATTTTAGAAAGCATTTATGAGATTAACCTTTCCTTATTCTATATATATTTATTGGATATATAATAACAAAAATATTTTGTATCTAAATCTTATAATTCTCTAACTTGGCTTTATTTATTATTAATTATTTTCAATTTAAAATAAATAAAATTTTCATCATTATATTTTTACAAACATCTAAATTTTAATTTAACAATATATAAATATTATAATAATTAGAATCTAATTAACAAATATCCAATTGGAATAATTTTCTTTCTTTCTTTTTTCCAACCAAACCTTTTTTTTTATTAATTCTTGCATGCTTATTCTCTTTAAAAATTATTACATGTAAAATAATTAATTAACTTAGGTACCTTTTCATTTTTCATAATTTAAAATATATGTAAAAAATTAGAAAATTTCAATTTATCTATCAAAGTTTCTACTTTATTGTTTTAAAATTTATTTTTATTTAATTATTTTTAAATATAAAAAAACTAATTTTTTTAAAAAAAATTTATTAATTAGATAATATTATCTATTTATTAATAATATATAAAATATATTTACGGATTATCTTTGATGCGTCAAATATAAACTTACAAAAAATAATAAATATTAAATGATGGATGCAATCTTTTTTATGGGAACCCGTGTCGGCTTTGAATGCATGAAGCTTACCGTAGAAAGAGAAGGAGAAAGCAACGCGGGAATCACATGAATCCATGGAAAATGATTTCTTTTTCTTTTCTCTTTTGCAATGCAACAAAGCACAAAGGGTAACAGATCTTGATTGATCCAAAAATGAAGCCAAAGGCAGAAAGAGATTGCTATGGATGAGTGATTGGTTTCAGTCTCCAAGCCTAACAGGATTGTTATCATTTTCTTTCTGACATACTAATAAGTAATCATCAACCATAACTAGAAAATTGAAGAAAAGATGATGGATGATATAAAAGAGGAAGAGAGGGTGGGAACGGGGTCATCAGGTCTCCCAGATGATAAGGAGATTGGGACAATGCATGAGCCATTGCTTTTCAAAAACAGGACTAATGCCACCTCTCAGACTGCCATTGTTGGTGCAAATCTCTGCCCCATTCAGAGCCTTGATTATGAGTAAGTCTTAATAAATTCTTTTTTTCTTTCATTGGAATTATCAAGCCAGAAGAGAAGCAAATTTCTTCACCCCATATTTTATGTTTCTCATTACAGTTTTTGATCATATGTTCTCTTTTGGTTTGGAAATTGTACTTTTTTTATACTTGAGACAAAAATTTGAACCTGATGACTGAAATTAGAGTCTTAAACTTTATCAACAAAGCACGCAGCTCTTAGTAGAATTGTACTTTGCCTAGGCTAAGACTGTGACATTACAAACTTAACAATCTAATCCATAAGGATTAGTTTAGTTTCCTCTTCTTCCAAAATAAAATCTTGAATGCACTAGGTTGATGATATGGGAGAGTATTTCCTTAAGATTGCTGAAATACCCTCATGCATTATAATAATAATAATAAAAGGAATCTTAATCTCAAGTTAAATGTTTTCAAATGTCTCAAAAATTGAAAGGTTTTAGTTTTATAAGAGTTTCATATATTTGTCCCCGCGCCCCTAAAATATGTATTCTGAATCTTGTGTTTGTTAAAAGGAGCTCATGGAAAGCCTTGGGTTGATTGTTAATGATCCCATTAGTTGGTGGCTGCTGCTTGTTCTGCTAACAAATCCCCTAAACATGCATATAGGCATATCAGAATCTATTGACAACTAAATGGGGATGAGTCAAAAAGCCACATCTGCCATTCCTTTTTTTCTCTTTTTTGGTATTTTGAGAAAAAGAATTTTGTTCCATGGCAATGATCTAAAAGCATTTGTATATACTAGAATGAGCTATAATGACTATGAAACACAATCAACTCTCTAAACTCTAGAATCCCCATGTCTTCATGGCATTCAAGCACATGGAATTATATCATTTCTTTGTTCTTCAAAGTTAGCATCACTGTAATTCCACTAGGCTTTAATTGGTTTTCTGCCTTCTTTTTCTCTCAGGGTGATAGAGAATGATCTTTTTAAACAGGACTGGAGGTCTAGAACAGAAGTTGAAAATTTCCAGTATCTTGTTCTCAAGTGGTTATTAGCTTTCCTAATTGGGTTGGGCACAGGGCTTGTTGGCTGTTTCAATAATCTTGCTGTTGAGAACTTAGCTGGCTTTAAACTTCTGCTCACCAATAATCTCATGCTTAAAGATAAGTAAGTTAAACTTCTGCTCACCAACAATCTCATGCCTAAAGATAAGTAAGTTAAACTGCCACTTAATTACATTACCTTGCTTTTCTTTCTGTAAAAGTATCACATTATGATTGGCACTCGTTTGGTTGGACTGCTGTCATACTTCTCCAATACTTGATCTGCTTTATCATTTCCAATACTCCTAAACTTCATTTTTTTTCAATACAACTGCTATAGTTTCTTTTTTTTTTTGGGGGGGGATTTGAGTGCCTTGTTTTTCTTTTTTATATATTCTTGGGGTTCCACCGCCTTCCTTTTGTACCTAAAACATTTTCTTCATGGTCCACATGCGTTCAATGGAGCTCTGTTGTTCAGTTAGGGTGTTAGAACAATCAGCATAGGCATACTGTAGTGCATCGATCATGATATAATTAATATGGTCTTGGTACCTTGTCTTGGAGGTGGTCTCTCCAACATTTGATACATTTGACACTCAAATGCTTCAGTTCTGTTTATCAGCTTGTGGCACTGTACTGGGATTTTGGTTCTCCAAATGGACTTATACCGTTATACTCGATAGTTTTACTGAGAAATATGTACGAGTGGCACTTGTTTTATCTGTTCTTCGCATAACTATTTAGTACTTGACAGTTGACAATAGCACTTATTTATCATACAGACGAGTGTTTATTTTTAGAAATAGCTCTCTATGCTTTGAGAATTAGCATAATGAGACTTGTTAGACTTAGTAGCAGTTATGAATCATGCACATTTCCGGTGCAGATATTATCAGGCATTTGCAGCATATACTGGTTGCAACATAGTTTTGGCTGCTGTTGCCGCTGCCCTCTGTGCCTATATCGCTCCTGCAGCTGCAGGCTCTGGCATACCTGAGGTAAAAGCATACCTTAATGGTATAGATGCTCCATCCATTTTGGCTCCAAGTACACTCTTTGTAAAGGTGAGTCACAGATTAGAAGTGATTCTCTATGTGTGTGTGCGTTCACAAACAACTTGCAATCATAAGCTATTAGTACTGATTTACTGGATGGATGAGCTGTGATTTTAAGATAATGTTTTGTAGCCCATTCTTTGAGGGTGTAAAACTTCCAAATCTTCCAGCAGCATTTCTAGCCAAAATGTAACAATGATTGTTAAAACAGTTTTATGATATTGATCCAAATCTCGCAGATTTTTGGTTCCATATTAGGAGTTGCTGCTGGATTTGTTGTTGGCAAGGAAGGACCTATGGTACACACTGGTGCTTGCATAGCCTATTTACTTGGGCAAGGGGGTTCTCGCAAGTACCGCTTGACATGGAAATGGCTCAGGTACTTCAAAAATGACCGAGATCAGCGGGATTTGATCACCTGCGGTGCTGCTGCTGGTGTAGCAGCAGCTTTCCGTGCCCCAGTTGGGGGGTTACTCTTTGCACTAGAAGAAGCAGCTTCATGGTAACTGTGACCTCCCTGCCATCGCTTCTTAGCATAGTAATAAGATAAATATATACATCCAAGTGCAATTGCCTCATGGTTTTTGTTCAAGTATCAATATTAATTACAAGTTTATTGCCATCTTTTCTCAATCATGGCCTTCTCAATCATCTGACTTGCATTAAAGTAAAAAAAATAGAAGAAACGCAGTGGAGTGGAAGTTGGGAAAACTTGTTTGCTACTATATATTAGACTGTTCTTATATCCTTTTAGCTGGTTCGAAGCCACATCACTTATCAAGGCAACATACGGCTGCCATGGATTAAATCTTGATCACTAAAACTAAAAGTCCAATACTCTACCACCAACTACTGGAGTTTATGCTGAAAGTAGCAGAGATTTTGCCATATTGATGTCGATTCAATGCTTTCTTATGATCAAGGACTTTGAGGTCTCTTCTGGTGTTCTACCTTGAAACAAACTCATCTTCTATTATAAATTTACTCAGGTGGCGGAGTGCTTTGCTTTGGCGGACATTTTTTACAACAGCAGTTGTAGCAGTGGTGTTGAGAGGTTTTATAGAATTTTGCCATAGTGGAAAATGTGGTCTATTTGGTCAAGGAGGATTGATCATGTATGATGTGAATTCCGCATATCCCACTTACAGTGTCCCAGATCTGCTTGCAATTATATTCCTTGGGATCATAGGAGGAGTTCTTGGAAGCCTGTATAATTATTTTGTGGACAAGGTCCTTCATACTTACAGCATTATCAACAAGTAAGTTTTAAACTCCTTAACAAATTTTTAATTTAATATTTATGAGACTCTGATGTAAGAAAATAATTTGCATGTTATTCAGGAACGTCTCTAACATTGTGTTTTTAGATTATAAAAATACAGTTTTACAATTAACATGCATATTGCACAAATTCTTGCTTGATATCATCTGCAGCCTGGATATTTCCCAATATTTGAATTTATCACAGAAGTAACCTTAAGTGTTTATATTAAACCTTTGGTAGAATTGCTGTTACTGAAGGTTTACAATTAATTGCAGGAAAGGTCCACCATTTAAAATTCTGCTTGTCATTACAGTTTCACTTTTAACCTCTTGTTGTTCATACGGTCTGCCATGGCTTTCGAGATGCATTCCTTTCAGTGCTCACCTGCCAGTACCAGACCAGTGCTCAACTCTAGGTCATCGCTCGGGAAACTATAAGAATTTCCAATGTTTACCAACCCATTACAATGACCTTGCATCCCTCTTTCTCAACACCAATGATGATGCTATTCGAAACCTACTAAGGTCTGGAACTGAAAAGGAATTGCATCTGTCTACCCTTTTCCTTTTCTTTGTTGCAATTTACTGCCTTGGCATAATCACTTACGGCATTGCTGTTCCTTCTGGCCTCTTCATCCCTGTAATACTTGCAGGAGCCTCTTACGGCCGACTTACTGGAACCCTACTTGCTCCTGTTCTAAATCTTGATGTGGGTCTCTTTGCCCTCCTTGGAGCTGCTTCCTTCCTTGGTGGCACCATGAGAATGACCGTTTCCCTTTGTGTCATACTTCTTGAACTTACTAATAGCCTATTGATGTTGCCATGGCTAATGTTAGTTCTCCTCATATCAAAAACTGTTGCTGATTGTTTCAACAAGGGTGTTTATGACCAGATTGTGAAGATGAAAGGGTTACCTTATTTGGAGGCCCATGCAGAACCATACATGAGGAGCCTGGTTGCTGCTGATGTTGTCTCTGGTCAGCTAGTGACATTTTCTGGCATTGAAAAAGTGGGGAATATAGTTCATACACTCAAAATGACAAGGCATAACGGCTTCCCTGTGATTGATGAACCACCTTTCTCTGCTGCTCCAGAGTTGTTTGGGCTTGCTTTGAGGTCTCATCTGCTTGTGTTACTCAAACAGAAGAAGTTTACGATTCACAGAACGATGACAGGACCAGAAATTATGAGGATGTTTGATGCCAATGATTTTGCAAAGGCAGGATCAGGAAAGGGTATCAAACTGGAAGAGCTGAACATCACAAATGAGGAGATGGAAATGTATGTTGATCTCCATCCTATCACTAATACGTCCCCATACACAGTCATTGAAACATTGTCACTAACTAAAGCTGCTGTTCTCTTTCGGGAACTTGGCCTCAGGCACTTGTGTGTGGTACCAAAGAAATTAGGGGTAAGCTTTATGTGATTCAAATTTTTCCAATTCTATCTCTTTTTACTAGTCAAAGTAGAATAAGAAGCTAAGATTGCTTTATGAATCATCTTACTTATGAAACGCTAATACAAAACTTCTATCCTAATGGCTTTTTGGAAAGTTTTGATCCCTAAAATATTTTTGAAGTTCATATGAAAGCATTAAAATTAGACATGGTAATTCTATATCCTTATCTTTATATTTTTTATTTAACGTAGGTAAAATACAAAAATTATTATATCACAATTCGTGTCGATACATTAAATACAAATTTTTTTTATTATTTATGTTAAATTCATATATAATTTTTATTAAAGCTTTAAATTACGTTATTTTTATATTTTTCTCATACGATTTTTGTATAGTATTATCATGTCTAATTAAAATAACTTTGTTTTACAATTTGCAGAGGCCTCCAATTGTTGGGATCCTAACAAGACATGATTTCATGCTTGAGCACATACAGAAACTTCATTCTCATGTTGAAACCCATAACTAGAAAAAACTATTATTCAGCAATTAGTATCGTAGATTTGTAGGGATTTTTGTTTTTTTTTTGAACTTAGGATTTTCTTTGTATACCTCCAATCTTTAAAAAGCGAATTTATTACTTATATGATGCAAACGAAACTTTGGTTGATGTAATCATTTGGATATGAGCATTGATTTTTTTTTTTTTTTTACATTTTTGGAGTTGAAATACACAGTTGTAAACTGTTCATGATCTCTATTACTTACTGGTTTTAGAATATTTCACTTGTTAAGACAAGAACCGTTCTGTTGTGGAACGGATCCAGAACGAGGGCAATTGGGGCTGTTTTTTACTTAATTTTATATATAGAGAAATTATTAAATACATTATCAATGTAAATTTTAATTTTATGACTGATACTAATAGGGTAATACATGTTTCTTAGAATTTTTAGAATATATTAAAAAATTAAAAATTAATTTAAAAAATGAGGCATGGGTCATTGTATAAATTCTGTTTGTGAAATTAAAAAACTTCACTTATAATATATAAAATAATTTCTCTTACATATATATATATATATATATAAAGATCAACTTATATCAATGTAAAACTTTTTAATTTTATACTTTTTGTTTTAACTTTTGATTTTAATAAATCTAATAAATAAAAGAGACAATGGATGAAAAAGACAATTCTAAAATTAGAAAAAATTATTTAATCTCATCTCTTAAATTTTTTGAAATCAATGATTAAAAAAATTCTAAAACAAAAAAGCTTTAAATTGATGTAACTTCATCCACATACATATACATATATATATATATATATATATGAAGAGAGATCAACTTACATCGATGTAAAACTTTTTCATTTTATATTTTTTGTTTTTTTATTTTAATAAATCCAATAAATGAAAGAGATAATTTTAAAATTAAAAAAAAGATTGTTTAATCTCATCTCTTAAATTTTTTGAAATCAATGATTAAAAAAAAATATAAAACTAAAATACTTTAAATTAATGTAACTTCATATATATATAATATATATAATATATAATATATATATATATATAAAAGAATCAATTTATATATATCACAGGGGTTTAGGTCTTTAATGATTTTTTTTTTTTTTAAGTTTAACGGAATTTATAAAGGTCACTAAACAATTTGTGGCTTTTAAAATCCTACATAAAGTTGCGTAAGAGGAATCAATTTATATACACCACATAAAGTTGCGTAAGATGAATCAATTTATATACACCACAGAGGTTTAAGGTCTTTAGTAGGTTTTTTTTTTAACGTTTAACGAAATTTATAAATATTACTAAATGATTTTGCGGTGTTCAAAATCTTATATAAAATTACTTAAATTTTTAATGTCTTACGTAAATTTTTTAAAAAGATAATTTTTTAAATCAAGATAAAAAAAATTGTTGATAATTTGGATAAACTTAATTTTTGTAATTTTTAAATATGTTTGAAAGATTTTGATAATTAAATAATTTTTAAAATTAGATTATTTGATAAACAACTAAAATTATTTATTAAAAAAATAAAATTCATATTTTATATTTTTAATTTTAAAAATATATGTCTCTAAATTGATTTGATTTTTAATTATAATTTGTATAATTTTGATATTTGAATAAATTTAAAATTATTTAATTTGTAATTAAAAGAAACTATCTTATTTAAAAAAAAATTATTTTATGTGTCATTTAAAAGAGTTGTTCACATAGACGCCTATATAACAAATTTGTTTATGTATATTATTATTATAATATATATATATTAAATAAACTTTTGAATGGAACTTATATTTAAAAATAACTTTAGGTAGTGTTTGGTATCATTTTCTAAATCATCGTGGCAATCTAATTATTATAGTGATAAGATCATCAAAGTAATTTGATCACTAGTGATATTAAATTAACATGTTAGGTATAATATTATAAATTAATGATGATATCAGATTATTATATTTGATATTATATGAAAAAAAAGTATCAAATATAAAATATCCAAAATAACTTTAAAAATAAAAAATTTAATGTTTATTGAATGCACAAAGTATAATAGCAATTCGTTATTCTCAATCCCATTATTGTACAAAAATATAAGCCAAAGTGATTTTCAATAAGGCTAAGAAAAAAAAATGATCTTTGGTTATGTTATCTTGGTCGCACAGCACATATATGTCGTTGGCAATGGCTATCAACATTAATAATTATATAAACTAAAACCAGGGAAGGATAAGAAACAAACAGAACAAAGACTAAAAATGACTTGAAACAAAACACACATTGAAGGTGAAGTGGCTGGAATCTCATTGAGGAATATTCACAAACATTAAGCAGAAATGTACATGGAAACAAACATAAGCATAATGCTTTTCAAATTCTCTAATAATCTTGTTCTCTATAAATTACATACATCACACATTTATCTAAGTAGTACAATGTGTTATGATCATTACAAAATGGTATGCACCTAACAATTTTAAACAGAAAACAAATGATATCAAGTTTAAATTAAGCTCAAAATCAAATGATGGCTTGTATCCATATTCAGGAGTGTTCCTAAAGAGCTTCATGACAAACCTTTTCTTCAATTATGGAGGAAAAGTGAACAATAAATCAAATTTTGAGTTATCTTTTATCAAAATCTCACTTACAATCATCATGTCTTCGTCATTTAAGTCATCAATGTTCATAATCTCATTGAATAAAGTCATAACCCCTTTCATTTGCTTGAGCTTTCCTTTCAAAAAAAAGATGATGGTGAGTTAGCATTGTCAAGTGTGATCTTTCCATTGATTTCCATTTCAACATATTCTTTAGTACCCTTTGTTTCTTCTTCCTTATCTATCTCTTCACATGCATAAAATAAATTTTACTCACCATCTCCATTAGCTCTATATTTTCCAAAAATCTCTGCTAAGTCAAAGTAACGAGGGAATGGCTTGTTTCTAAGGCTAACAGTAGTTGGGTGGCTCTGCAAATTGCATAAAAAAAGAATCAGCACTTGTAAAACAATATAGAATAGAAAAATAAAATACAATCTCATTTTTAAAATGTGTTTTTACTTTCAGCCAAAGATAAAAAAAAACTTGTTTATCTGCCACCACACACGTCTTGATCATTCCATCCAAAACCAAAACCATGTTTAACCATTTCAACAATAGCACAATATTGTTTTAGAATTGGAAACCATGTTTAACCATTCCAACATAATGGCTGTTTTACATGCATGACAAACTACAAATTTGTTGCATTTCTCCAATGATTAAACATCTCATTTGCTAAATTTTCTTTAAAACCAATCCAAGCATCAGTACTCTTAATATAGATAATCCTATTATCTAAATCCTTACTAATATCAGACTCTATAGGATTAATGGGTATTTCTTGTTTAATGTAATTATGAAGAAGACGACAAGCATTAATGATCCTGCATTAAGTTTTTGCAAGGTAAAAGGACTTATTTCTTAAAATTGTCCATCTTGCTTTGGGCAATCCAAAACACCTCTCTATGACATTTCTAGCTCAAAAATGCTTTATGTTAAAGAACTCATGAGCACTAATGGATTGCTGCCCTTGCCTCCACTCATTCAAATGATACCTTTGCCTTTTATAAAGAGCCAAAAACCCTTTTTCATTTGTGTAACCAGCATCACATAAGTAACAGTATCCTAAAATATAATATAATTGATTTAATTAGTTTTAATACAATTAAATTGTGTCTCTATATGATATTAAAAGGCTCAATTTTACTTTGTATGAATTTTTGCATACCTATGGTACTTTTAAGCCATTTTTTTTTGGAAATGGCATTTTGAAGCACTCTAAAATCACTAGCTGAACCCTCCCAACTAGGCAAGACATATATAAATTGCATGTTTAGGGTGCAACATCTAAGACATTAGTAACAATCTTGCCTTTGCTATTTTGATACCTTGGTTTGTCAACCTCATTTACCTGGACTCTTATATATGTCCCATCAAGTGCACCAAGACAATTCTACATAAAAAAATCAACTTAATTTAAAACAATATTAAGACAGAAGATGTAACAACAAAATAAAACATGTTCTTTATTGACATATACCTTGAAACACCTCCACCTATCATCATTGCAATCCTCTATCACTGGTTCAAATTTCTTTAACAACATAGAATGGAGACGCAACACAAAGTTAAGGACATCATGAAACTATACACTAATGGTTTCGCCAACGAGCAAACTGTCTTTTCATAACTTTATTCTTAATTTCATCTGCAATTTCATGTAGGAAAACAGCTACCAATTCCTTTGCATCCATATTTTTAGTTGGTTTAAGTTTACCGACTGTTCTTAACAAGTGATATAACTTTTGAAATGCTCTCCTATCCATCCTTACGTTCTCTAAGCGCCCTAGATTAGTAACAAACACAATTTTACCGATATTCAATGATCTAATATGATGTCCACACCAACCTACAACTTCTTACATCTTTTTCTCATACCTAACCATGTAGAGACTTCACCTATTTATAACCATACAAACTTGCCCATTAAGAATCCCTCTCCATTTAGAATTCTTCTCCTGTAAGTCAAACTTGCCTATTAAGAATCCCTTTCCTTTACCTTTTGAATCTATCCTATTCATGAACTTATGCACAGTAATTCTTTCTTTTTGTTGAAAGTCCCATAAAATCTCCAATCTATCCTAATGAATTATAGGTTTCTTTCTTTTGAAGTATAAGTATTGTTATAAATAATGCAATTGACATTAATTTTTCAAATAGCTTCGTTTGCATGGTAAGAATAGCAAAATTTTGCAAATGCATAAGCCTTGGAAATCGAGTCCTTGTTGCATATAATATTTCCAAAAGGAATACACTTAAGTTATAAAATGAAATAAGCCAAAACATTGGTATAGCATGGTAAAAAAAAAGGCAGAGATTACTTTCCCAAGATGATTATACTTTCCCAAGATGATACCAAACACACACTTAAAGAAAATCATATCAAATAATAATTATTTTTTAAATAAAA